ATAGAGGATCAACTTAAAGCACTTTATTATTTGCTGTCAGAAGAAAAAGAAAAAAGAGGTAATATATTTTTGTAAATCGAATTTTTAATAGTTGATTAATTGAGCATTTATATAAAATCGATAAAAATTTCTAAAAATGATTCAATAAATCAAAATTTTATTTTAATATCGTATTAAAAGAATTCTATTAAATTATCACATAAATATCTTTTAAAAATGTTTTTTACTTCAGTTTTCTAAATAATTAGTTTGAAGCATGTTTTAAAAAATCAATACAATTAATCATAAACATTAAATATTTTATATTATTTGTAGTATAAGATTGATAAAAAAAATATATCAGCTTTCATATAACACAATTTTTAAATTCTAGATCGATCATTACGACGCAGAAAACGTGACGTAGATAAACGTCTAGGCGATGATCCATTAAGCTTACTACATGACAATATTTTTTTACGTAAACGCATAAAAACTGAAGAAGCTAAAGAACGTCTAATAGAGCGTGTTAATGAACGTAAACAACGATTGCGTGAAAGGCAAGAACAAAAACGTGAAAAAGAAGATCTAAAGAAAGAATCTCGGGATAGTAACGAAAACAACTTCTATGGTTTCCAACATGGGGAACCCTTAAAAAACTTTCCCGAGGGTGATGTTTACTTTCAAACTGAAATTAATACTAACAAAAATAAAGGAATTAACTGCGATTATAATGATGATGACAATATAAATAAAGAAATGTATAAAAACTGGAAGCGCTCAAACATACCTACAGATATGGATGAATATAAAAACCTGTGGTTCGATGAATCAGGAGAAACTAAACACATGCCTACTGACTTTTTTGAAAATTTAAAACTGCAAACACTTAATTCAAAAGAAAATTTTAAAAATTACGGAGAATTATGGGAAATAGAATCTTTTCATAAGAATGAAACAAATGATAAGAAACAAAACGAGTCTGGTAAATTAATGATTTCTATTTAAATATAATTTATAAATTTCGATTTAAATATATTTAGTGGATAAATTTAAACATGAAATTAGATTAGGGTCTCAATATATGAAATAAAAGGATTTTCTAAACTTTATAATATAATTGATGTGAAATTTTATTATAACCACTAGTTTATAATCAATATAAATTATTTACACAATATTTTAGAACAGTAATTAAATTATTAGTAAAATCAATACCTTCTTAAAATAGTAATACAAATAAAAAGTAATTTTTTTGTATTAATTTGCAAAAATTGCAGATACTCCGTTATTTAAAAATAAATATTCAAAACTATTAAGTATTTTACTACGTTTTAGATGAATCTGAAAATCATGAAATTGTTACTGAAATTTCTTTAAGAGACTCAGAAAATCATAAAACAGAAGAACGAGCTGCACAACAACTTATCAATTTCTATAAAATGGATATAAATGAGAAAAACTACGATTTGGATGATTTAAAATTTAATCAAAAAGAAATTCAGTCACAATTGTTCCCATTGATAATTATACCTAATAATCCAAAAATATCAACAGGAAATGACAATTTTAACCTTGAACAACATAATAGATATATAAATACTGACAGATACCACGATAATCTAAATAAAGGAATACAGCCTAGTGAATCTTTATACCACCGAACTAAGAGATATTTAAATGATTTAGAAGATTTACTTCACCAAGAAATGATCACTCAGGATAATAATAATCTTAAAGACTGTCAATGTCGAGTCATACGAGGAATTGAAGAATGTAAAGATTGTGATTTAAATTCAAGAAATTTTATAGGAACACAATTAATTTCTATACCAAATCAAGCAATCGATAATTACAATACGAAAATTCGAATTCAAAGAGACTTGAATAAAGAAACCAACACTGATTATTTAGAAGAAACAATAGACTCTGGAGCCGATAGTGACAAAATCGAGATAATGAACTCTGAAAGACCAACCAATCCAAAAAAATCATCATATATTAAAAATGAAGAACCAAATTTTGAAAATTATAATAAAACAGATGAGATTTTAGTACCTACAATCATAAAGGTAGAAGATGAATTAAGTACAAAGAATATCAATGATAAAACATGGAATCGGTTACCAAGAAAAATAGAGTCATCGGCAAAGTTTCTTCTTAAATCCGAAGAAAATTTGACGAAACCGGCAATTAACATAAACTCACAAGTTAATCAACAGAAAAATAGTGATATCAACGATTTCTCAGTTATTAATGCTTATATACCAACAAACGAAACAGAAACTGCAATAGAACGTACCAATATTCGTTCCGTTAATATTACCTCTCCTCAACACTTAATGACATCTCCTCTTGGAAAAACACAAGATAAAACTACTTTTTCAAAATCCACTCGATTTCTTGGTGAAAAAAGTTTAACTACTGATTTAGAAATTGACAGAAAATCTACGATTGCTAATGTTGATATTAACGAAAAAAAAGAGACACAAAATATCAACGATCAAACTACTATTATTTCCATAACAAATAATTCAACGGAAATCAAAAATATAGATGACATAAATTCAAATAATGAAACTTCAAAAATTATTAATGTAACAACTATAGATCATAAAATAAAACCAAAGAATAATAGTGCAATAAAAATAGATGAACGCATTAAATCAAGACAAGCAAGATTAACTACACGAGCCGAAGCTTTAACGGCGTTAAAAAAAGAAAACGAAAGTAGACGAGCAAAAAAAATGATCGAAGCATCTATGAAGATAATAGATATGGAAAAATCTAAATTTGCTGAATATCAAAAAAGACGTTATGATCAAATAGAAAGACTGAAACGAAAATTACGAGCGAAACGTGAAAAGATGTTACAACAATATAGAAGTGAACTGCTAGAAGTAATAAATGACAATTCCGAATCTAAAGAAAGTAATATACATAGACGTGACCTATTTAATCATTTTCAAACAGCAAGCCACGATACCACAACAAACGACATGATCACAAATCCAAATGAATTTGATTATAGCATAAATTCTAACCCAATTAAATATTCATCAGAAAAAGATACTTACAAATCTAAAAGTGAAAAATTTTTGCCAGCGTTTGAGATGTTGGAACCATTTCGTGATGTTCACAGTAAACAAGCTTTACCAAAATTTCAAACTAAAATATACATAGATGATGATAACAGCAAAATGCAAATAATTAAAGATAAAAAACAAAAGACATCACCGAAAAAACATTTGAAAAATGAAGATGCATATAATATAAACCATGAAGAAAAGTTTAGAATAAAAAATAATAAAAGATTTCCATATGCTTTGACAGGTGGAGATGCCAAATTAGAAAACTATAACCATAAAAATATTAATAATTATAACGACAATAAAAACAAATATTATATCGAACAATCACAGGTAGAACAATATAATCCATATACTATGTATAATGAAGACATTTCGATACCTTTACATGTACAATATAGTCAACAACCATTAAATACACAGCACGCTTACATAAATTTTTATAAGTTAGATCCATCATATGTGCAAGAAACATCTAACGGACCTTTCAATAAAGTAAACCCATTGAATACACATCAAATTCAAGATTTTAATAGGTATAGTACAAATGATGAGAATACACAAGAATCATTTGATTACAAAATTAATAGACAAACTATACCAAATCAACAACTGTCTGAAAAAAATATTTATCAATTAAATACACCTAATTATAAAGATATTAAAAATGAACAATTTGAACAGAATTGTCAAAAAGCAAAACGATCAATTCTAAAAATTTCTGAAATTCATCCATCAATGTATGAAGATAATGAATCAAATAACACTTCACATGAATTATTAATAAAACCATCGTACGTATTTCCATCAAGAAGTTATGGTTATAATCCCTACACATATGTAAATAGAAGGTATAAAAGAGAAGCCATGCTCAATAATGGAAAAAATATGTATGAACCACTATCCTTTTCATTGGGATTGGAAAAATCAAAAATGGTATCAAAAAATTCGGAAAATGATGCATGTAAGTGATAAGCTTATGCAAAGTTACATACTATTATTTTTTTAAAAGATTTGTTAATTTAATAGTATTTTAAACATTTTTCGACAATTTTATATTTGTATTCTACAATTAAAAATTTTTTGTAAAAAATTTTTGAATTTTTCTATACAAATCTCTTTTATATTAATTTAAATATTTTGTTTATAAATCATTAAAGTAACAAATATATTTAAATGAGTTATATTAAATTATTTTATAATGATTTATATATATATATATATATATATATATATAATTCAATCTAATATTGTAATTATATTCTCATGATAAAATACATTTTTTAGTACCCAACAATTTTATTAGAAAGAAACGAGTAGTTAATGAATTCAGTATCAAGAATAAAACACCTATTCAATATAAATTACCAAATCATAAAAATATAAAAAAGGTTCATACAACAGATTTTAAGAAAATTTTTAAATTACCTATTAAAACTATGAATAAGCAAACTGTTCAAATGGGTGACTCTTTCATTAATGATATTCCTATAAAAGTCGAAAGACTTCATTTCAATAATTATTTGAATGATATTAAAACTAAAAGTTTCCCAAGACAAAAACGATCTATGGATCAACATTATGATTACCAAATAATAGAAAGTAATGGAATCGATCGTTTTGATCATATGGATGAACTTTGGAATGACATAGGTGAAGAAGAAAAATTATTACAAGAATACGAAAAAAAAAATAACTCGATGCAAAATTTTATTGAAACACAACACAATCTTACAAACGACATACAACTAATCACAGAAGCATCTAATAATCAAAATAATTTAACAATTCAGCAAAATTCCTCATCTACCATACAAACAAATATAGGGTCAATATTAATTGATTCAATTCCAAAACTCCAAACTGTGATAACTGGAGGATTAAAAAAAGCAGAGAATCTTACAGGTTCACTAGAAAATTTTATTGACAACTACGATAATCAATTAAATAATACAAGGAAGCGCTTAAAAGATAATTCAGGAGATATAAATACGTTTGAAGTAAACAATGAAAGACTCAATCACAATATTTTTAAAACTATGATTGGAAGCGTAAAAAAGTTCTTTGGTATTGTATCAGGAATTGCTAAGATCTTTCATGTACATTAATTAGCTATTATTTAATTTGTTTCTGCTCTACGTTCACTAAAGTACAATAAATTACAATCAATAATTGTGTTGGATATTAATTATTTTGATAAAAAAATACAATAAGTATTTTATATAAATAATCCCGATTTAGAATTAAAATAAAAAATTTCTAAAACAATCAATGTAAAAATCATATCAATAAAAATGAAATTTTTACAAAGGTTGAGGATGATATTATATATTAAATGATTATATATATTTCGCTTCATTTGTATTATAATTCTATATATATATATATATATATATATATAAACAATGTTAATACAATAGTTATAATGTTAATTAATTTATTGTTTATTATATTATGTACTGTTATATTTATTATGGTTAGTTAATAATTTGAAGATATTTTATACACAGTTTTAGAAATATATAAATTATAATATTGCTATTCAACTGTATTGTAAATGATTTAATAAAATACTAATATCAAATTTAATTATTATTAACTTGTTATTTCTCATATGAATTAATATTACTACTTATATCATGTGTTATTATAAATTTTGAATAAATTTATTTTTTAATTACTTAATCTACATGTGTATATTTATAATTAAAACAATATTATTTTATTTTTCTGAGAAAATTTATTTATATCTGTATTTAAACGCACTAAACATTATTGTAAATTAAAATTATGTATTTTGAATTTTTAAAAGTAATCTGTAAGTTTATGTTTATGTTTAGTGGAATACATTTATACAATTAAATACAAATAAATTATTGTGTAAATTAAAAAATTTTCTTATTCTTATATAAATAATAACAATACTTTTAAAAAGTACGTTTATAAAATTATAAAATAATATTATATATAATTTTATAAGATTTATAAAATTATATACTGTGTAATATACAGTTTTGTACTCTACTTTACTGTACTGCCTGTACTGCCTGTACTGTTCTGTATTATTTTGTATTGTACAGTATTCTGTTATGTAGTATTGTATTATACTATATTGTATTGTATTTTATTGTATTTTTTGTATTGTACTATACCATCTTGTACTATAATGCATCTGATTATTATGTAAATAAAGTTTTTAAATAAATTATAATAAAATGAATAATTTATAAAAAGTAATATAATAAAATAATTACGAATTTTATGTTTATTACAATGCAGTTATACAATTATATTTGAAAAATGTTTATGAAAAATTATTCATACTAAATAAAAAATCTATTACGGGGCACGAACATTATTAAAAATGAATATTATAAAGATAACTTTATAATAATAATAAGAAGAAGAAGAGGAAGAATAAGAATAATAATAATATACATGAGTGTAGTTAAAATTAAATAATATTTTATTCTAATAGTAAACCGAAGTAGACCCAATTTCGTTTTAACATAAAGAGAATTAATTATGTTTTCAGTTTTGAAACGTATTTATATAATATTGAATATTATTATTAAAAAGAACCTTTTTCATACACTGTATTTTATTTTTAAATAATATTTAAAATTACTATTAAATTATTTAACAATATATACTTGAAATGATCTCAATTTTCAATCTTATCAAATATTAGAAAAAATAGTAACTAGACGATGCGACACCTTTTATAAAAACTCGAAAATTCTTTATAATTCATAAAGTAATATAAAAAAGATATATGTTTCAATGTAAAATTAAAAAAATTTTTATTTTTGCATATAAATCTTAGATTAAATATTCTATTTAAAAATTCTACAAAAAACTCTACTCTAATGAATATCACCTAATATCGGATACATAAATATTCTATACAATTATTTTGTAAAAATTTAAAAATAAAATTTCTAAAATTCAACGCAATTTAAAAAACAATTTTATCCTTGCAATTCTTATTAAGAGTAATATAAATTTGAAAATTTAGGTTATATGAGAATTATTAGGTAATTTTATTATAAATAGTATTGTAAATTAGTTATTATTTTCTTTAATCTTAATTCATTTTTAAAAATAATTTCTAATTAATACACAACAGATATAAAATAATCCTTAAAACTTAAATTATAATAATGGTAGATGAATTTCAGGCTTTAATGAAGATATACATTAGTAACAATATATGTTCAAAGAATATTATATTATAATAATAAAATTAAAATAAAAAAACTAATCATTAATTTATCATTATTTATCTTCTTTTGTAAAATAGCAGATTAATTATGGCATTCTTGTTCTTTAATTTATCTAAGACATTATCCAGTTAATTGATGGAAATCGCAATTTAAAAAGATAAGATTTTATAATAAGAAGATATATTTTATTTTAATTCATCATAATCAACGATAAAGACAAAAATATATATTCTGCTTATAAAAAAAATATTTATTCATTTTTCTTGTCGTATATTATATGAAAAACGAAACGATTCTATAAAAAATGGCAATATAGTTTTTAATATAAAATATAATAAAGTAAAGAAGTAATATCAAAAGTGAAAGGTTTATTTTCAAATCATCCTTGTATCTATTAAAAGAAAATAATGTAAAGTTAAACACTTTATTCGCTTGATCAAATGCTTTAACAAACTAAAAACAAAAAAGTGCCGAATGAGAATAACAAAAACAATAAATCAACAAATGAACCATTGCTAGATGCTTTTGAATCATTGTATTAATTTTCATTCCTTTAAGGTGCAATTCAGGTCATATTATTTCCGTATTTAATATCAATCTATTGTTGATGTCACAGTTCATGTTACCGTTTATCAATATATATTTCGCCATTCTTTTAAATTTCGTAACAATGACACCGACCGTACTTCAATTAATACATCGAATCGTGAAGAACATTATTCAGCGATCACCCACTCGTCCAGATCCTTTCAAATCGTTGCAACTTAAATCACTCATGAAAAGTGTTACTAAAATATAAATTCAAATAGAAAAAACAGAAATTTAAAATTAAAATATTGTATAATCGATAATTATGAAAAGAAATAAATAATAAATGATAAAAGTGATAAAAAGTGTGCAAATCAAGAAATTGTTAAGTAATTTGAATTATGAAAGAAACGAAATATATAAAAAGATGAAAAAAGTTGATTTACTGCAGCTTATAATTATAGGAGGAATAATTTGTAATATTTCCGAAATAACTTGCTGTAAATATATTCAGTAAGTACAGATTTCAAATTCAAATATTAAATCATTTAGAATCAAATACAATAGAGGAATTGATATTAAAGTTATACTTTTCAATTTTTTATTAATTTATTGTTTATTTGTGAATTGAAAACTAATTTAAAATTTTTTTTTTAAATTAATCACTGACATTAATATTGAATACTTTTAACTATAGCAATAAAAAATATTTGTTGAAGATTCTAAGATTTTTATTTAAAATTTTTCTTGAATAAAAAAACTTTTAAGTTAAAAAAAATTTTTATTTTATTTTAAACTTTCAACATTTATATTAAATGTATAAATAATACTATATTCAGTTTTCTAAAAAATTATTATTATTTCATATAATTACCATTTCTTATTTAAGAAATATTTTACAAAAATTATAATTCAGATAAAGTTTCAATCTGAAAAGAATTTGTATATTTATAAAATAAAAATAAACACAAGTATTGAATTAATACTTCGTTAAATTGAATAAAACTGTTTTTTTTACAACTTGGTCAATTATAATTGATTTTAAAATGAAAATTTACAAATATGTAAAATATAATTATATTTTTGTATATCTGAATTTTATAAAAATGGTATATGATTATTTGTATGCTGCATACCTTAAATAATTGACTGTGGGATAAGTAAAAATTATGTTATTCTACGGTTTCTGCAAATTATCCTCACTTACGTACAGTACAAGTCAGATTTTTAAACATTGGCCGAGTTGTGTATTCACTTCGAATAAAAAGAATGTATTAATTGTTCAGAGATATGTATGAAATTATGCAATTATCATTGTCAGCAAATGATGTCATGCAATTATTTCTTGATATATAACATTGTAAAACGATTTAAATTAATATGAAAAGAAAAGGAAAATTTCTTTTTTTTTTATTTTTGTATTATAAATTAATTTTGTTATTAATATTTTTACAGAATGTATTGATCAAAATAATTATATATTTAATATATTAATAAAAAAAAATAGATTTCTTTAATTCAAAATATATTTATTTCTAAAAATTTGTTAATATAAATTATAAATTTAATAGTTCTCAATAATTTTTAGACACATATTATAATCTTAAATACAAAAATTAATTCACTTTAAAAATTCAATGATATGATATCAACGATACGGACTGTGTTTCATAAAATACAATTAAAACATTTTTAAACATGCTTTTATCAAATAATTAATTTTAGGTATAATCGAGTTTTTTAATTTATTATCTTTTAAAATATATTTTGAATATGCTTATTTTAATTTATTCATTTTTTTTTATAGACAATATATACTTACAAAAAATGCAGATGCAAATGATAGACTAAAACGAGGATTGATATTTCTCATACCGTATGAAGAAAATGACATAACACATAATAGTAACGAAAGTAGTCAAGAAAAAATATTAATAGATGATACAAAAACTACCATGGAAAAATTAAATAAAACTAAACGAGATCAACCGTTAAAAATTTATCTACATTTTAATAATAAATTTGAAAAAAATAATATAACTGACAATACTGAAAATCTAAATACAAAAAATGATACTTCCTATATTAATATGAAGTTTATTTCAGATCAAAAAGAGATTAAAAAAAATCTTATTAATATAAAAAATATCGCTAAAAGTGAAAAAAATTTTGAAAATAAAAATTTAACAATTATCACAATGAATGCGAAAGCTAATAGATCTCGCAGAATGAGCCAAAAAAAATACATGTGCTATTGCAAACAAGCAAACTGTAAAGGTAGACAATGTCTTCATGAACAAATTCAACATCATTACCCTTGGAACAAAAATTATTTTCCAAATGTTAAAGAATAT